GTTCAGCAGTTAAGAGCACTGGCTGCTCTTGCAGAGGACACAGGTTTGCTTCCCAGCACCCAGCACTGACGTGGCAGCTAACAACCATCTATAACTCCAGTTCCAGGGGATCTGACACCCTCTTCTGACCTCTGTGGACACTGCATGACATAGATACATTTCTTGACAGGCCCTTAGGTCAGTCCAATGGAGGAAATTGCTCATTTGATGGTCCCTCTTCTTAGATGTCTGTTTGTGTCAAGTTGATAAAAGCTAACCAATACATTAGAGGGCCATTTTGGGGAATTGGTTCTCTTCTTTCACCATGTGGGTCCTGGGCATCAAACTCACATCTTCAGGTTTGGTGGAAGGGATTTTACCTCTGGAGCCATCTTGGTCCCTGAGTATCTTTTGACATTTATTCCCGTTTGGCACTTAGGCTGTGTGGTCCATCCTTTTGGCTCTTCCATAAACAGCTTTGATGTCCATGGCTGTGATCTTGACCTCTTCTTGGATCTGGGTGATATGGAAGAGACCCAGGTGAGTGAACAAGAAAGCAAGCAGCCTGGGTACATGCTTTACTGCTGTGCTTTAGTTCCACATTTATCAAATGGGCACTATAGTACTTATCTAAAAGCATTATTATAATTATAGAAATGTGAACATGGATACTCACTAGATAGAATGGAAGTGGTGTGGGTAGATGGCAGTTGTGATAGGAAAATAAAACATTCCAAAATTGACCAGGCCAGACGTGATGGTATACTCTTTTAATCCTAGCATTTGGGAAGGTGGATCTTTGTGAAATTGAGGCTGAGGTCAGCCTGAGAGACCCTGTCTCCAAAAAAAAAAACAATTGTGTTTTTTTTTTTCTTCTTTTTTTTTTTATAGTATCTCTGGCTGGCCTGGAAGTTGTTATGTAGGCCAGATTGGCCTCAAACTCATAGAGATCTGCCTCCCCAGTACTAGGATTAAAGGCATGACCACTATGTCCAGCTTTGTATGTGATCTTATTTGGAGAAAATACATATACATATACAGTAAGGTACTTTGGGGGTTACATTTTTATTTATTAGTATTTGGGGGTATTTGAGATGCTGTAGCTCTACCTGGCTTGGAACCTGCTATAGACCAGCTGGCCTCGAACTTTCTTTCTTGCTTCTCCCTGGGATTACATGTGTGTGCCACCACATCAGGCTTTTACCTGCATTTTGTAATATGTAATATACAGATTCTGTTTCTGAAAAGGAAAGTTTCTTTTTTCATATGTACGCTTTGTTTTTAGAGCATTTTAAGTTCTCAGAGAAGTGGACTAGAAAGTGGAATTCCCATTTATCACCTCTCTGTGGAGAGGGTTGTTATTTTTTTCTACGTAGTGCTGGGACTGACCCAGGGCCTTACACATGCCTGTGCTTTTTTGTTTTTATTTTTGGTCCTTTTGTGACAGGGTCTCCCTGTAGCCCCATCTGGCTTGAAACTCACAATGTAGACCAGGCTGGCCTTGAACTCACAGAGATCCACCTGTGTCTGTCTTCTGAGTACTGGGATTAAAGGCTTGTGTCACCACACCCCTGGGAACTCTGTGTGTAGCTAAGGTTGACCTTGAACTCCTGATCTTGATCCTCCTGCCTTTACCTCTACCTTTCAAGTGTACCATACCACACCATACTCTTAACTTTATTTTTGATAGGGCTTCACTATGTCACCGTGGCTATCCTAGAACTCATTATTTGGACCAGTGTGACCTTGATCTCACAGATATCTACCTGCCTCTGCCTCCCAAGTGCTGGGATTAAAGGCATGTGTCACCATGCCTGGCTTATTTATTTTTGTGTAGGGGTTGGGGGTGTAGAGGTCAGAACAACTTGTGGGAATTGGTTCTTTCCATTCACCACTGGGATCCCAGGGATTGAACTCAGGTTGTCAGGCTATTTTAAAACAGGATGTGGTACCACATACTTGTAAATTTCAGCACTTGGGAGGTTGAGGCAGAAGAATCTCGGAAAATTTAAGAGCAGCTTGGGCTACACAGTGTGACTGTGTATTTAAAAAAAAAAAAAGCCTGGCATGACAGTTCATGCCTTTAATTCCAGCACTGGGGAGGCAAATCTATAAATTTGAGGGCAGCCTGGTCTACATAGACAGACCCTGTCTCAAAAAGAAAAAAGCATTGCTGAGAACAGTGGATTATGTGAAGCTATAGAGTGGGGCCTGTCACACAGAGGACAGCAGGGACACATTGACTTTCCTTTCCATCTGCAGCTAGCCCCAAAGGCTCCAGAGTCTCCATCCCTGGACTCAGCCCTTGCTTCCCCCTTGGATCCTCAAGCCCTGGCCTGCACCCCAGCTTCTCCTCTAGACTCACAACCTCCAGCTTCTCCCCAAGATTCTGAGGCCCTGGACTTTGAAACCCCTTCTTCTCTGGCACCCCAGACTCCAGACTCTGCTTTGGCCTCTGAGACTGTTGCCTCACCCCAGTCCCTGCCTCCAGTCTCACCACTGCAGGATGACAGGGGTCAGGGGGAGCTGGGGAAGGCTCTAGAATTAGCAGAGGCCTCAAAGAGCGAGAAGACAGAGGGGACAGCAATGCTGGAGCTGGTGGGATCCATCCTCCGGGGCTGTGTCCCTGGGGTGTACCGTGTCCAAACTGTGAGCTCTGCCCGGCGTCCTGTGGTCAAGTTTTGCCATCGGCCCTCAGGTCTTCATGGAGATGTCTCCCTCAGTAACCGGTACTTTTGTTTTTGGGGGGTGGTGAGGAAGGCCAGCTAAAAGTTCTAGGGTGGATGTAGAGAGAATCCTGACTTGGAAACTCTTGTGCCTACTGACTTGAATTTGTCCTTTTTTGCTGTTGTTCAGTCCTTTCTTCCACTTATCTCCTCTCCTGCTTCCATTTTGATGTTTGTTGTGTTCCTTGGAATATTTTTTGTGTGTGTCGGGGGGGGGGGGGGGGCTCCAGTCCCTTTTTAAAATTTTTATTTTGAGTTAGGTCTCACTACATAGCTGAGGCTGGCCTCAAGCTTGTGATCCTCCTGCCTTAGCCTCTTGAGTGCTGGAATTAGCGGCTTGACCATTATACCTGGCTCTGCAATAGTGTTTCTAAGGGATATTTCCCTCCTCCCATTTCACCTTCCTTCTTTCTCCCTACTTTGTCTGTTTCTTTGCATATTAAAGGCTCTAAGCAACAAACTCCTCCTTCTCTTGAACCTCATAAAAGGAGGCCCCAAACAATAATGGGACCCCAGAGTCCCCTCAGACAGTGGCCTACTGTCACTCTTGACAGCTTATTTCTTTCTGGTCTGTACTGTTGCTTTGCTTTGAATAAAGTATTTCTACTTTGCTCCCTTCTCCCACCAAAAAGCTCTGAACAATGTGTTTTGTTTTGAATTTTTTTTATTACATTTTGTGTACATGCATATGCATGTGTGTGGGCATGCCACAGTGTGAGTGTGGTCAGAGGACAACTTGTGGGAGTTGGTTCTCTCCTTTTACTATGTGGGTCCTAGGGATTGAACCCAGGTCATCAATTTTAGTGGTAGGCTCCTTTACCCACTGAGCCTTTTCACTGGCTGTTTGTTCTTTGAGACAGGGTCTCCATCTTCCTGATTCAGCCTCCTGAGTGCTGATGCTGTGATTACAGGATGTGCTACACGACTGACTGTTGAGAAATCCTGATAGCATGCTTTGTAAATGGCGAGTGTACAGGATGAGCATATGGGATGTAGTGCTACCCAAGGTTCATCTGACACCCATGCTGGGCAAGTGCCCTTGCACTGAGCTGCTTCTCAGATCTATTTTAATATTCTTTTGCATACCCCCTCCTAAAACCAGTGCTTTATCAAACCTTTGGGAACGTCTCTTTTGACCTTATTCTACCTGCTTCCAAGTCTGTAATGAGAGATGGTCGGGTAGTAAGTTTCAAGGACTCCCAGGCCCTGACACCTTTGTTTCTCTATTGTCCAGGCTGGCCTTACATAACTCCCGTTTTCTGAATCTCTGTTCCGAGCTGGATGGTCGAGTCCGGCCCCTCGTGTATACACTACGCTGCTGGGCTCAGGGTCGAGGGCTGTCAGGTGAGAATGAATCAGGACAGAGTTGGCCTGAGTTGGTATAAGGCAAAGGCAGAGATTTAGTGAGAAAAGAGATGTGGGTACATGAACCAGGGTTTGAAAATACTTTTTCCTAACTGAAATTATTGGTTATTTACCCAGGGAATGGCCCCCTTCTCAATAACTACGCCTTGACGTTGCTAGTGATCTATTTCCTTCAGACCAGGGACCCTCCTGTGCTGCCTACTGTGGCCCAGCTCACTCAGAAAGCAGGTACTGCAGATCAGCCTTTCCCATCTCAGCCTCATCAACTTCATCTCTCCTTCCACACCTCATATACACTGAGCATCCCTGGGATAAGATCTCTGCTATCATCCTGTTTTCTACTCATTTCTCCCCCATCTTTCTGCTTCCAGGCTGACCCTCTCTTTTTACTTTAGCAGGTGAAGGGGAGCAGGTGGAAGTTGATGGCTGGGACTGTAGTTTTCCAAAGGATGCCTCAAGACTGGAGCCCAGCGCCAACGTAGAGACCCTCAGTGAGTTTGGGGAGTCTGGTAGAGAACTAACAATGATACTGAGCACAAGAGTAGGTAATGTTATCACACTCATGCATGCAAGGCATGGTCTTCACAGCTTCCGTGTGACTGTTGCTGTTTTTCAAAATTAAAAAAAAAAATTATGGCCAGGTGTGGTGGTGCATGCCTTTAATCCCAGCACTTGGGAGGCAGAGGCAGGCAGATCTCTGTGAGTTCAAGGCCACCCTGGTCTACATAGTGAGTTCCAGGACAGCTGGGGCTACAGGGAGACCCTGACCCAAAAGACCAGAAAAAAAAAAATTATGGCATGAGTCTCTTGCCTACATGTATGCAAGCACACCTGTGTGTACAATGCCTGCAGTGGCCAGAATGGGGCATTAGATCCCCAGGAACTAGAGTTAGCTGCCATGTGGGTAACTGGGAACTGAACCTGGGTCATCTGCAAGAGCAGCCAGTGCTCTTAACAGCTGAGTCTTCTCTCCAGCCTCTAAATTAGATTGTATTCTGGTTTCTTTTTTTAATTTATTTTTTTTTGATGTGTATGAATGTTTTGCTTGGAATCTGTAAAAAAGCATGCTGGATCCCTTGGAACTGAAGTTGTGGATGGTTGTTAGCTGTCATGTAGGTGCTAGGACCTGAACCTGGGTCCTCTGCAAGAGTAGCCACTGAGCCATCTCTCTAGTCCTCCCCTCCTCACTGTTTTTTCAGACCCAGCTGACCTGGAACTTGATTCATAGACCAGAGTGGCCTGGATCTCATGAAGATCTGCCTGCCTGCCTGCCTGCCTCTGCCGCCTAAGTGCTGGGATTAAAGACATGCACCACCCACCATACCTGGCCCTTGGCTGTTTTTTTTTTTGGTCTTTTTGAGACAGGGTCTCCCTGCTGTAACCCCAGCTGTCCTGGAACTATGTAGACCAGGCTGGCCTTGAACTCACAGAGATCCGCCTGCCTCTGCCTCCCAAGTGCTGGGATTAAAGGCATGCGCTAGTACGCCCAGTGGCTGTTGTTTTTAATGACCATTTTATAGGTGAAGAAACCATGCCTTGGAACAGGTAAGTGTACTACCCAAGGCTATACTAAGGCAAGGGCAAGTGTCTGGGGAGAGACTAAGGGTGCAAAGACAGCTTGAGAAGCTTGGCTTCTCAGGACTTCCTGAACCCCTTTGAAGAAAGAAAGTCCTACAAAGGAAGCAGTTCCGGTGCAGGACCGTCTCAGTTCTGGCTTCTAAGTTTCTCCAATCTGCCTCTTGCAGGTTCCCTGCTGGCCCAGTTCTTCTCCTGTGTCTCTTGCTGGGATCTTGGTGGCTCACTACTATCTCTACGGGAGGGTCGGGCATTGCCAGTGTCTTCGGGCCTGCCCTCTGATCTCTGGGAAGGACTGCGCCTTGGCCCCATGAATCTCCAGGACCCTTTTGACCTGAGTCACAATGTTGCAGCCAACGTGACCAGCCGAGTGGCTGGCCGTCTGCAGAACTGCTGCCGAGCAGCAGCCAATTACTGCAGAAGCCTCCAGTACCAGCAACGTTCCAACCGGGGTCGCGACTGGGGACTGCTCCCACTATTGCAGCCTAGCTCCCCTAGCTCCCTGCTGTCTGCAACACCCATCCCTTTACCCCCGGCCCCCTTTCCACAGCTCAATGCTGCTCTGGTCCGTGTGTTAAGGGATGCACTGGGATGCCATATAGAGCAGGGCACTAAGAGACCACGGTCAGAAGGTGCTGAGACTGAGGACTCTCCCCAAGGAGGGGCAGGCAAAAGACTAAAAGTAGATGAGCAGAAAAAGAGCTGTGAGGGGGGGAAAGAGCAACAGGGAAGTTCGGGGGACCACAGTGAAGATGGGGTGGAAGAAATGGTTGTAGAGCTTGGAGACACACCTCAGGACTGTGCCATGCTGAGCCCTGGGCAACCAGGGGAGCTGCCCCTGCCGACTACGAAGTGTCTAGGCAAATTGGCTGAGCAGAAGCCCATGGGACCAGAAGTGGCTGCAGAAGGGTCTCAGGGTGAGACAGGGAAGGGAGCATCACACCTGTCCTCAATGTGCTGGCGCTGCACCTTGTGGTGCCCCGTGTGGCAGGGGCGACGCCGAGCCCGGAGACGGTTACAGCAGCAAACCAAGGAAGGAGGTGGAGTAGGTCCCACCACTGCATCGGAGTGGCTGGCGATGGAGGCTCGGGTAACCCAGGAGCTGAGAGGACTGGACAGTGGTCAAGAGAAGCCAGAGACCGCACCCCTTCTGGCCTTTATGGCATCTGCCTCCCAAGCTGACCAAACTCTCACCGTGGCCCCACTTGAGGATTCCCAAGGCCTCTTCCCTGATCTTCATCACTTTTTACAGGTTTTCCTCCCCCAAGCACTTCGAAATCTCCTCAAATGAGATGGACCCCAAAAAGCAATAAAGCTGCTAGTTTAATACACGCTCCAATTTTCTGTTATTTCCACCTGGTTATAAGAGCCCTCTTTCCCTCCTGCCCCTGCTCCAGGTCCTGGCGCACCCCACCTGGAACCCTCCAACAGTAAGCCTCCTGTTACTGTCCGCCTAAGACGTCTCCTTGCAGAATGTCTAGGGCGTGCCGCCGCGTTCGCGAGACCAGGCAGCGGTGGTAACGGTTAGAAATCTGGGGTCAGGCTTCTAGGCCTTTCACCCCTGTAACGAGAATTCATCCTGACCCAAAGAGGCGAGGTTTTCAAACTTGAGCACAGGCACAAAACAGCGTCTCAGCTGAACCGCCCTGGGGTGTCAGCCGCGGGTGTTAACCGGAGGCGGCGGGCGCAGGGACAGCTTGCGGCCGGCAGCCGATAGCGCGGGTGGCTTCGGCTGAGCAAATCCGCCTTCGGGTGTTCGCGGCGGTGGGCCCCAGTGGACACACACCGAAGACCCGAACGAAAGCCAGAGGCCTTAAGTGAACAGCCGCCCGGCGCCCCGCTTCCGGGTCGGAGCCGAGGGGCGGTGCTGGCCGGGGTTCTCACCCTTCCCCTCCCTCCCCTGCCCGCCTCTAGCAGGTTTCGGATTAGCCAGTCTCATGGGAGGGGCGGGGCGGGCGGGCTGGGAGGGGCGGGGCGGGCCCGCCCAGAGCCGTACTACGCAGGCGCCAGTGTGTACGAGCGCCAGCCGGCAGGCCCCACCCCTTACTCTTTCCAACTCAGCGCCTCTGGATACGGAACTGTCGTGCGTATGCCGTCTATGCCGTCCTCGCTTTCCGGCCGCTGTTCGGCACGGCTCGCCCCTTCCCCCTCCCTTGTCTCCCTGGCGGCTTACTTTGCGGCAGCACCGACGGCCCCACCCCCTTTCTCTGCGGAATCACCATGGCTGCTGGGGTGAGCACCCCTTACTCTTTCCAACTCAGCGCCTCTGGATACGGAACTGTCGTGCGTATGCCGTCTATGCCGTCCTCGCTTTCCGGCCGCTGTTCGGCACGGCTCGCCCCTTCCCCCTCCCTTGTCTCCCTGGCGGCTTACTTTGCGGCAGCACCGACGGCCCCACCCCCTTTCTCTGCGGAATCACCATGGCTGCTGGGGTGAGTCTGCTGGCTCCGGAGATCCGGGTCACCCTATCCGCCGCCATCCTTGGTCCGAGTGAGGCCCCTGGGCGCCAGTGGAGCCCCAGAGCCAGACGGGGGGTTGGTCTGGGCTCCGCCCGCTGGACTGCCGGACAGCAGGGTTCCTTGGGCCCGGGTGGGGGGAACTGAGGCTGGGGCACTCGGAGGCCAGAGGTGGAGTGTCCCAGGTGGAGGAGGGAGATGCTGGGTCTGCGCAGTCTGGACCCTGAAAAAGTGGCCCGGCTTCGCTGCGTTTTTGAGATGTGGGGTTTGGGCAGGTCGGTGGAACTTTGTGGCCGTTTTGTGGGTCACGGACGGGACAGGGCGGAAAGGAGAGGGTCTTTGTGGGCAGGGACGGCTGCAACAGTTAAGGGCCGTCTGGGGAAGGTCCGGGAGCCAGTGGACTCCAGAGCCGTGAAACCAGGCGGCTCGGATCCCGCCGGTGAGGTGGGGGACAACTGGGAACTTAGCTGCAGGGCAGGACTAGAAGGATGTTCTGTGCCACGAGTAAAGGGCTTTTGAGGAAGAGGGGTTGATGACTAGAGCATGCCATTAGACAGCCTCGCCATTCTGGTCTGTGTGTGTGCGCCTTTCGGATGTTTTGATTCGTACCAGCTCCGCACCGTTCAGAGACGCTGGGTCCCATGAATGAATGAAACAAGGGTTCTGGCAAGGAGGGGTGTGGTGTTTGTAGGCAGATGGGAGTCTGATGGAGCCGGATGGTCTAGATTTCTTGGAGATGTTAGGCTTGAGGGGAAGAGATGTCCTTAAGGAAGGTCACATCTGTCAGCAAGCTTTATTTAGCAGCTGGTATGTAGTTCTGTTCTTGGTATTTCAAAGGACTCTGATTACATAGGGCATTCTAAATAACTTGCTTCACCAGAAGGACTGAAAATGAGTTTAACACGTTGGAATCGTGCGTGAAAGTTGTGGGTGGGGAGTGCCTTTAGGACACAATTCACGCCCCCCCCCTTCTCTCATAGACCCTGTACACATATCCTGAAAACTGGAGGGCTTTCAAAGCTCTCATCGCTGCTCAGTACAGCGGGGCTCAGGTCCGCGTGCTCTCCGCACCACCCCACTTCCACTTTGGCCAAACCAACCGCACCCCGGAATTTCTCCACAAATTTCCTGCAGGCAAGGTGAGTGGAGACCTGGAGAGGGGCTTAGGGGCCGAAAACAAAGGAGACCATTCTGGAGATGGCATGCTCCTGTGTGATTTTCTTTCACCTTGCAGTACTTTAAAATTCTCATGGGGCTGGGGATGTAGCTCTGTGGCAAAGCTTGAGCCTCACTTATGCAAGGCCCTGGGTTTGATCCCCAGCACCTCAAAGGAAAAAACACCGTTTTGAAAGCTGCCTGTAATCTCAGCACCCTGGACACTGAGGATTTCAAGGGTAGGTCAGCCTGTACACTCTAGTAAGACCCTGTCTTAAAACAGAACAAAGTGGAGGTTGATGCATAGTCCCCAAAAGAAATATGGTGCTAGTCAGTGGCTTTATTAAAGTGGCTTTGGAGTTGGGGTGAGAATGTATTTTGACCAAGTGCCCATATCAGTACACATCTGTTCAATATCTGTTATGAGCTGGATTCTTATCTCAAAGGCCTTCAGAAGAGGTAGTGTAGTATAGTAGGGGCAAATCCTGTATGTGGGTTGTGCCTTAATACTTTTAGAGATGGAGCTGTGAGACCTGGTTTCTAGCCTTGTGCTTATTTGGTTGAGGAGTTTTATGCCAGTGTCTCCTGATGTCCATGTTTGATTTTTTTTTTTTTCCCCTTTCTTTGTTTTGAGCCAGGGTCACTCTGTAGCTCTAGCTGGCCTCCAACCCAGTCTTCCTCTCTCTTCCAGTGCTGGGACTAAAGGTGTGCACCACCATACTTAGCCAGTTTGAAGTCTTAGTTCAGATATTGTGACTTCAGATTGCAAGGGATACCAAGTATTTTTCATTTCTAAGTTTAGATAAGGTCAGGAGTTTGCATAGCAAGGGCTATCTTAACATTTTTTTCTCTTTTGGTCTTTTTGAGACAGGGTCTCTGTGTAGCTCCAGCTGGCCTGGAACTCTTACATAGACCAGGTTGGCCTTGAACTCACAGAGATCTGTCTGCTCCTGAGTGTTGGTACTAAAAGTGTGCACCACCATGCCTGGCTTAATTAACCTTTTATTTATTTTTGGTCTTCTTTCAACAGGGTCTCCCTGTAGTCCCAGCTGGCATGGAATTCACTATTTAAACCAGGCTGGCCTTGAACTTACAGAAATTCTGCCTCCTGAGTGCTGGGTTCGGTCCTTGGAATTGGCTAGTGAGAAATTCCTGTGTTTTACCCTTGACTTTTCTCTACTTTGTCCCCAGGTTCCAGCATTTGAGGGTGATGATGGATTCTGTGTGTTTGAGAGCAATGCCATCGCCTACTATGGTAATTGCAGGGATACAGGATTGGGAGGGTCTGGAGGTGATGCTACAGAAGGGGGATGGGGGCTAGTTCCAGTGGGCAGGGTGGAGTTACGGGTCCTGGATTGGTTTTGGCATGACCTCAAAATTCTGACCTTTGTGTTGTACCTCTGCAGTGAGCAACGAGGAGCTGCGGGGAAGCACTCCAGAGGCAGCAGCCCAGGTGGTGCAGTGGGTGAGCTTCGCAGACAGTGACATCGTCCCTCCAGCCAGTACGTGGGTGTTCCCTACCCTGGGCATCATGCATCACAACAAACAGGTAGGCTTTGAAACTTGGAAAAGCAGGGGCAGGGATGGGATCATGGCATCAGCTCCTGAGTTTGGGGAAGTCAGAGATAGAATAGATGGAGAAGAATATGCTAAGAATGTGTGGGCAGTGCAGACATCCATGGGGTGGATGGTATCTGGGTTCTTTGCCAGACCTAATGATAAGATTTCTGTCTTGAGTGGTCAGAGTTGAGATTTCTGCTATTCAGTGGAAGCGGGGTGGTTACACCAGTTCACTTACAGTTTCTTCTAATAAGTGATTATTGAATATGTGAATATGTGTAGTGGGAAATCAAACCATGCTTGTCGTAAAGAAATTGAATGCTGGGGCTGGTGAGATGGCTCAGCAGTTAAGAACACCGATTGTTCTTGCAGAAGACCCGGGTTCAAATCCCAGTACCCACATGGCAGCTAACAACTGTCCGTAACTCCAGTTCCAGGGGATCTGACAGCCTTTTCTGTCCTCTGTGGGCATTGCACGACATGGGTGCACTTACCAACATGCAGACAATACACGCATACACATAAAATGGAAATAATAAAATATTTTTTAAAAATTGAATGCTGTTTCATTCCTGATGAATTTGGAATGATCTAATGAAAGAGGGTAGGGGTGAGCCATTGAAGATGAAGTGGATTCTTTAGTTCTATTAGTGGGAGGAAAATGAGGAACAAAACTTGATGCCTACTGATAGCTTGAGTATTTCAAATCAATAGGCAACTGAAAATGCAAAGGAGGAGGTGAGGCGAATTCTAGGGCTGCTGGATGCTCATTTGAAGACTAGGACTTTTCTGGTGGGCGAACGAGTGACTCTGGCTGACATCACAGTAGTCTGCACCTTGTTGTGGCTCTATAAACAGGTAAGGTTTGTAAAGAAACCATTTGGCAGAGAGTCAATGGGGATGGGAAGCAAAGTGACCAGTACTAGGTAACCCTAGGTTTTGCTGATGACTTGGATGGGCTAATACAGGAATTCCAGAGTTATTATGATTCTGCTTTCATTTTGCATAATGTTCTGTCATGGGAGTCCTTGGCTGAGTTTAGTTTAAAGATAGGCAACGTTGGGCATGGTGGCTTATACCTGTAACCTTAGGACTTGGGAAACTGAGGCAGGAGGATCACCCATGAATTTGAGGCCAGCCTGAGCTACATAGTGAGAGCC